ATTAAAAAATAATAAATATTAAAAAGTTTTAAATTGCAGAAAAAATTGTTCCAAATTACTAAAAGTTGATATTGAATATTGTTTGTACAATTATTTTCTGATCGTTGCACTACTTGAAAATTCTAACTTACGAAAAAGTACATTGTAAAAAAAAGACTATTGTAGATGCGACAGTACTACCTTAAAAAACGAAAACAATTAAAAAATTTTTAAACTATAAATTGTGATTTCGATTTTCTGACTCGAAATACTAAAAGCCGCGGAATTGTTCAGCACAGAAAATTGTATTTAATTGTATGTAGAGCTACTTAAAAATGCTTTAACTAGTTTGATATTAAATGAAATAAGTTTATAGTCCATTAGAATCTCTAAAAGCTTTTAAGAATCGATCGATCTGTTTAAACAAATGTACGAACTCAATTGAAGAGACACTAATTAAATCCAACTTAGGTTTTCACAAATAGTAAAGGTTACACTGCTACGTCAATTTAAAAAATACTAGACTATGTAATTGCATAATGGCTTAGAAGCTAAATGAATTGAAATACAGTCTATGTATGTTTAAGGGGTGAAGAAGCAAGAAGATATACCTGAGCAGTAAATTAATTTTTTGAGAAACTAAATCCGATAAATTTTTAGTAAATTCGTATAGTTGAAATTAATTTTAAGTTATTTGTACAAAAAAAATTTATTTGCAAGCAAAATGAGGTAACTCAAGAAATCTGAATGAAACATTTTCTACGAAATTGCCGAAACAAAATTGTTTATAAATGATTTACGTAAGAAATTATAATTTGAAAATGTATAAATATATAATCTGAAAAATAATATGTTTTAAATAAACATTTTAGAACACTAGTATTCGCTCCAAGCTCAACTCTAACAATCAAATTTTTTAGTGAATGTTTTTAGCAATTGTGATGGCTCATAAAATTTTATTCTTTAAAGCAATAATCGCGTGTTATAAAAAAATATACGTAATTTATCGGAAGTAAATTCCTAAAAATTGTCACTTTTCGCACTAGTGTTATTTTCTATGAGCGAATACAAGTATATCTCATTTTGCTTTCTCCCGCCTCCTTGCCTATGAATGCTCATGTATATTATCAGTATATTGTGATATATATTTTTTTTAGTAATAGAACTTTAATTAGCCGATTATTATAATTGTTTTTTTTTTTTTTTTTTTTTTATAAATATGAGAAATCACATTAACTAAATAAAAAAATGTGAAGAAAAAATGATAGATCTATGTATGATGCACAAGGATTTAAAGCATTGCTCTTCATATACTCCTATATATAATAAATAAAGATAAATAATTTATCAAACAGAATAATTAAATAAAAATTAATTTTTATTTGGGGGAGGAAAAGAGTGCGATTTTCTGAAATTAATATTTTATGGTAGGTATCTATTTATGCAGACAATCGAACGTCAAAACTAATACATTTCTAGTATGTAACAGAACATTTCATAAATATACCTAAATAACAATAACATTACTTTTCATGGTTGTTGTCTATAAAAAAATGTTATTTAAAGTAATTAATGGTACATATGTTATATATATTTTAACTATTTAAGACTGCGGAACAATTAATTTTGAAGATTGGTTTATTGTATAGACGAAAATGTCTATTCAGAAATACCATCACCGAATGAGAAGTAAATGTATGGAAAAATAAATATAAATTTATTAAATTGAAAAAACTCGGTGCCAATTGTAATAATTATTAAATTTAAAGTAATAGAGCTAATAATTTCAGCAAATAATAAATTAGTTTAATTATATAATTGTATGAGTAAATGTCGATGGAGCTCACAATTAGAATTGAATGGAATTTAATAGATTGTTTCAAATTGCTTGAAATTAAATACATTTTTATCACTTTTTATTGGTTTCGGAAAATATAATATCCGAATAGGTATTGAAATTCAAATATTGATAATTAACGGGATATTTCAATCGACTCTAATTGGAATTACCATGCTCAGCACAAAGGTAGTAACTAAGGACAAAATTTTTATTTTAAAAAATGTAAATTACGCTTGATAATGGTTAAGATAGCTTGCTGTGTGATAAATTTTGGAGAAGAAATACTCTATAATTATAAAAATTTACTTGATTCAAAAAAAATATTTTTTTCAAAATATTAATCTTGTTTGAAGATATTCATTTTTCTTCACATTCTAGAACTTAATTCGAGATCCAAAAAATTAAAATTCTTGAATGAGTTAAAATTAAAAAAAAAATTTTTACTTCAATAAAGCATTTCATTATTTTGAAACAAAGTACACATTCTTCACCTACTAATTTTTTGTCGAGGATTAAGATATGCGGTAACATTGGTTCAAGATATTACTGACTTTTTGTATTTTTAAAAGATTTATTTTGCTATTTTAAATAAAGAAACTAATTCCAAAATCAAGAGAAAAAAGTTCATATAAAAGAAACCAAAATTATTCTTAATTTTCAAAAATAGTTCTTTGATAAAAAATTTAATAGTATATCAATCGAAGATAATAAATCTCGACTCTAGGTAGGAAATTCTTTAAGTGCGACAGCCTATTTCTTTCTAATAAATTTCTTGGAAAGATTGTTTCTCTTGAATCTAGTTTTTTTTTCTTATTAATATAAGAGTGGAGATAATGTTTTATTGGTTTTTTGTCGTGAGTTATAATCTTTGTGTTTAGCACGGCAGTGTAGTAAATTAAAAATAGCAATATATAAAAAAAAAAACAAAATTGTAATATTTTATTTCAATCTAAATGATGATCATCTGTTATTGATTATTACTGAAAATTTTGTAACTGATAGTTTATAATGCATATCAATGTTACTTTAAGAAAGATAACGGCAGAGTTATATTTAACTGATTTGTTAAACTGTATGTTATCATTATCATTATCAGTTTAGTATGTAAGCTTAATTTTAAGAAATAAATTTGTGGACAATTTATTTAATATATTGTGGTTAATTAACCATATTTTATTTTATACGTCGGTACTTGTTTAGTATGTAAATTAATTTAATAGCTAATTGTTTAAATGAGTGAATTTTACATTTGATACTTTATATAATTATAAGTTTAAATAGTAATATATTCGAGTCAATTTTTTTTATTTATTATATAATATGTCTTATATTAACTATGAATACTATAATATAATATAGAAACATGTAATGACAGTGTTGTATAATAATTTTGATTGGTGTGACCCTTCATAATTAAACTATTTATATCAAATTATCAGTTATAACTTAACATAGTTTAAAAATAATAAATTACTGCTAATAACTGACAATTCGCTAGTTTACTAATTATATCCATGAAACACTATATTAACTCTATGCAACTTAATATGATAGATCTTTGATTTTCAAGTTACTTATTTAAAGCTATTTATCTAAATATATTTTGTACATATCGATAGAAGAAATCAATAAATAAATTTCGATCAATTGGAAATTCATTTTATGAACTCGGAATAAACTAAAATTTAATATAATTCGAATATTTTACGTCAAAAAAATTTATCTAATGAAGAAGTCTAAAATTTAGCTATTTCCACGAAAAAAATATTTATGAGAACATATGAGCAAAGATGTAAGAAAATTTTATATGTCATATATATATCTAATTTATTTTTTTTGCTGAAAATATGTATAAACAATTTTTTATGTCTATTTGTTTGATACATATCCGTTCATGTCTGAAAAAAACTTTGAAAAATTTATGAATAAAAACATAAATTATTAATATAAAAAACGGACTAAAACCGGCAAAATAGCTTGAATGAGTCATGTACATTCTTACCGTTATTCGGAAAGTTTCAAAGTTTTTTTTATACACAGAAGGAAAAAATTTTTTATTCTAGGGTAAATTTTTTAGCTCAAAAAATTTTTAAGAAAGACTAATAATTTATTGAATTAAATAAAAATTTCTGGAACGCAGTTAAATTTTCTTGAGCTAAGAAAATTTTTTCTTACTACAAAATAATTTGGGTTTTCCTCAAAATTTTGTTGTAAAATTTTGAGGAAACCATTTCGGATGAAAGTTCGCAAGTTGTCTATCTAGAATTGTTCTTTTCCAAATAAAAAAAAAAAATTTTTTTCAACAAGAAGATTACTGTGAGGAAAATTTTGATTTCTTCAGCTAAAAAATAAAATTGTTAAAAATTTTCAACAAATTGATATCTTGTTATAACAATGCTCATTTAAAAAAAAATTTTTTTTCTCCCAGTGGCATGATGAATCTGGTAAACTTTGATACTTGAGCCTTATCAAGATCACCGGATATATCGTTAACAATAAATTAAGGAATTTCAAAAATTTTCAATGATTCTATCCTATTTAAATAATCATTTGTCTCAAAATAGCCCATTGAAAAAAAATTTAACGGCATATTTTTGATCTTTGTTTTGAAATTTTTATAGATTCATAAAATCAATTTAAAAAAATTTTTTCCAGAGGTATGTATGGCTGGATTCATGTTTAAAAATTTTAGATTTTTCGGAGGCTGATAGGATCTCTTGAAAAAGAAACTGAAAGTTAGCGCTTGAGGGGATTAAAAAAAAAAATTTCTACTTATTAAATCTTAATTTTTTCATCTTAATGAAATATTGATAAAAAAATTATGAATACTCACTTCCAACTTGGTGTTTATCGATGACTATTTCTCATTATTGAGCTCGATTAAATATATAATACTGAGCTCAATTATTGTCCGTATATAATTTTATATTTATTTCCATATGATTTTATAAAATTATTCATCTCCAGTTATTACTTAAGTTCTTGCTATAAATCACAGGGAGCGTTGAGATCAATCATTCATGTAATAAAATAATAACACACAAATACAAAAAATACAAACAATAATAGAGAAAGAGGTTAGAACATTTCTCTTGAATATTCACATTAATAAGAGATAATAAACAAGTAATAAATACGATTTTTATAAAAGAAAAAATAAATTGAAGTGATATAACAAAAAATGTCTGACAATTCTGATGATCATTTATCAACTGCAGAGGATTCAAATGATATGTCTGACGCTACATATCAAGTAGTTAACAAAAATAATCCATCAACTGCAGAGGATCAACAAGAGGCTGTTTCTGACGTTATACCTAGAGTAGCTAGCAAAAAGAATGTGGTTAGTATATTTTTTATTATTATGATGAATTTAAAGATATTGAAATTATCAAACATTTAAAGAAAATTTTTTATGATACTAGAATTAGCAAACATCTGACTATTTTTTAGTTTTATATTATAAAAATAAATTAGTACTGATATAATATTTATAAAAAATTGCACTTGTAGTTTTTTTTTTAATTTTTACATGTGGAATTTTTGTTGTTAATTTCTCAGTAAAAATTTATTTATTAAAAAATGATTTGAAAAATTTTCCGAATGTAGAAATTAAAAATGTAAATGATGAAATTTTTTAAAAATATTTTTTAGTACTGATTTTTTTTTTTTTAATTGTCTGCTGATTTTAGTATCATTAAATTTATTTTATTTATTAAAAGTGATCATGTGATTAATATAAATCTTTATAAAAATTTTAACATTACTAAATTTTATTAGGAAAAAGCCTTGGAATTCATTCGTCGACGCCGTCAACAAAAACTATTAAAACGGAAAGGAACCTCTGAGACTGATCTAGAGCATAAGATAGTTGCTAACTGCATAACAAGTTTAACTGCTCCTTTTACAAGAGTTAATGCAGGGTCAGCATTTTTTAGAACTTTTATACCAATAGAAATTAGAAATGCTTTACTAAATGAAGAGTGGCCATCAGTTTTAAAATTATTCCTCATGTTATTAAAATCTGAGAAAGGTGAGGCATTAGTATGGAGGTATGCATTTTTAATTTATCTTCGATGCCCTGCTAGCGATCAATATACATTTGAAGACTTCATTACAATGTGTCGCGGTACTGATCCATCTAATTATAGTACACTTTTAGAAAAATTATTATCATTGTCTAAAACAACCGATGAAAATACATAATTTCACTAATATAATTTAATTGTTTCTAAGTATTAATTTAATTAATAAATAATTTTTAAACCTTTTATAAAGTTTCTTGATGGAATTAATGTCTGAGTACCTCAATTTATAAATTTATATTTTAAATGATTTCAAAACTAAAATTAAATTTTACTGACTTACGAATGGAGTGAGTTCTAAAACTCGATGTAAATAAATTGTTTGTTACGTGATTAGTATACATTATTTTGGTTAAATAAGAAAATTCCATGTAATTAAAATCGAGTTTTCATTAAATGTAATTTTTAGGAAATAAGAAGTTTTTTGATATACAGTCAAACCTGGTTAAGAGAGAGTTCAAGGGACCGTGATTTTTTTCTCGCTTATAGAGGTTTCTCACTAATGCGAGTTTCTAGCTTATAGAGGTACAGGAGAAGTTTGTCTCACTTACAGAGGTTTATCAATAATATTCAAAATATTTAGTTGTAAATATGGTAGAGAATAATTTATTAGAGTGATATACAAAGTAATTATTAGAGTGTCCCTCGGAGCACTGGGACTTTATTGAACCTTTAAATTTTATAATTTTATAATAGCTTGATTCGGGTAATCCAAATTCACTCCGTATTTCACACCTTGATTTACCTGATTCAAATGCATTTATAGTTTTAAGTTTATTATCACTTAACGACAACACATTGATTTTTCGTTTAGGCATTATAAGTTGCTATAAGAGAACTGATCGTTGCAAATGATATTTATCAACTGTAATAAACATGACAAGTAAGTTAATACAGTTAAATATTATTTCTTCGAACCATAAGAAAACAAAAACACACAAATTTCCTGAAAAAAAAAAGAATGAGTCATACATAGTTAAATTGTCGCTTATAGAGGTACATGCAAAAGAGGCTCTCAGTTATAGAGGTCAGAGTGGGAAAAACGACTGTCGCTTATGCAGGTTTTTGTTTCTCACTTATAGAGGTTTTTGAGAGGTCAAAGTACGGGACCTGAGAATTATTCTCACTTATAGAGTTTTCTCGCTTACCCAGTTCTCTCTTACTCAGGTTTGACTGTATATCGATAGTTATTTGTATCGTAAAATTCTATAAATTTGACATTTTTAAACGCATTAACATATTTCATAAGTGTTGGACATATCGAGGTGGAAATGAGATAATAGTCATTTTATTTATTACCAAAAAAATGATATTTTAATTAAAAATACTCAAAATAACTCGAATAATAAAAATTAATAAGTAGTTTTATTAATACCTATTCTAAAAGTTCACTGTACATATTATGTTATTATTAATTCATACAAAAATTTGTAATATTTTACAAAAAATTTCGGATAAATTTCTATATAATTTACTTATATATGGGATTTCATTACAGTACACTTGTATTAAAATAAAAAAATGACATGAAAAGTTAAATTTTACCTTAATTTAAGGTAGTAGTCTGGTAACGTTGGTTAGAACAATCGATTTTCTTTTTACTTATTTTATAAAGCAAATGTTTTGAGTTCTCTGTAAAAATTTTAGACCGAAATTCAAAATATCATCAAAGTTATAACGAAAGTTCGAGAGCACTCTGTGGTTGCATGCTGAATGCCTTCAAATTTTCGACGCGTTTTTTTCGAAATAACTTTTTTTTTTTTTAGACTAGGATCTTTTTTTTCACCCCTAACTTTTCATTTTACAGCACGATTTGTGCCTGAAAAAAATAATCACCGTTTTTTTTTCGACATTCATCGATTGTTATTTTCAGACAAAATTTCATAATTTTAGTTTCGACGAGAATAACAAATTGTAGCTCAATCTATTCGACATTATTGATACAAATGTCCTCAAAAGTCAAAATCATCGGGACCAGCCACCGATTTTTGACGTGATAACGTCTTATAAATTGATGAACACCGACAGCGCTTACGAAAAAATGTCGCGTTCCAACAGACCGTTCCGCTTTTGCGTTCCTCCTGAGCGTTCCGCCTGAGCCTGTGAGTGCAAGCGAGAGCGCGCAACAAGCGATAGAGAGGCACGATCAAACAAACGATAGAGAGGCCCAAGCATTGGCTTATGACATATATCATATATCTCTCTTTTCGCGTAACGTCAGAGCTAGCAGTCAGAATATTGTTCTATAACTAATTGTTCGTGATTATATTTAAACAAATTATATCAATTATAAATAAATAAATTAATAATAATTGTAAACGATAAATTAATAAAATAATAATAAAAAATAATAAATTAATAAAATAATTAATATTATTTATAAATAATAATAATCATATCAATTATCAAATTATTGTATCAATTTTTGATTAACAATTTATCAATAAGTCCTTTTTTTTATTAAAATAATTTTTAAATATTCAAAATTTTGAAATTTTTAAATACAAAATAATGATAATTCAGTGATAATAATTCAATTCGATCCATAAAAGTATGCAATTTTTCATCAATGTTTCTTTATGACGTTATCACGTAAAACTATCGTCCGTAAACCGACTTTACAGACAACCAATTTTTTTTTAAGGCGTCTACTTTGACAAATAATAATAAATACAATAACAATAACAATTATAATATCAATAATAATAATTATAAGAAATTGTAAAATTAAATACAAAAATATTTTTTTGTATACTCTTAGATAGGAAAAAGATTGAATTATATTATCCCCATTTTAGAAGAAAAAAAAATATACCGAAAGACGTAAAAAAAAAAAAAAAACACAAGTTAGCAGACTACTATCTTAATTATACTGATGATGTCGATAAATGATTAAAAATTAACAAATATTTAAAACAATCAACATACTCTTTCAAGTGTATTATAAAACACTGGAGGGAGTTACGATTTATTATGAAAATATTTGAATATTTGATTAGAATGAGATATCAGTGAAATATTAATAATAATAATAAAAATAAATATATGTATGAAATTATTACTATAATCTCTGGTCAGTCAATTGTTAAGTGAACACGAGAATCATTGGCTGCTAGTTTTATCAATGTCTTTTTAACTCGAAGAATTGGTAATCGTGCTGCTGGTTTGCCGTGCCAACATTCTCTCATGAGTTTTCCGATACCAGATAAAGTCTGTTTATAACAAATAAAACAAATAAGTTATTGTTTATAAATAGTAATTTCATTTTATAGAATAGAACTTTAAGGGCCAGTTGTTCAATCCGGGATAAAATTTTATCCGAGATAAAAGTACCGCCAATAAAATAAAAAAAAAAAAAAATAAATAATTCAGTGACGTGATATTGCTCTCAATTAGTTCTCCATGAATTTGGTCGTTTATTTAAATAAAAATAAATAAATATATCATAAAAATAATAATAACTTCTCGTTGTGTCATTTAAATAACTTTAAATTAATTAACACGATTATAAATTAATAATAGATATGTCAAACGCAAGATATGAACTCGAAGGGCTCAAAAGCATAGAACAGCTCTTTGAGCTCATAAAGCTCAAAATAACACACAAATTGTAATTTGGAGCTTGAAGAGCTTAACAACATTATAAGTGGAATTTCAAGCGCTTAGGTATGGAATTAGCGGGAAGTTACAGGGATCTCCTTCAGGGTCATCCCCTTTTTCCTAATATTTATTTTATTTATTTATAATCAGGAAGTTGTCACAGTTGGAGGTGAATATTTCTGTGACATGTGACTAATGTTTATTTATTTTAATTCAAAATAAGTGAGTGAATCCAAGGAGAATTACTCGTAGGCAATATCACTGTGCTAAATTATTTATTTTTTTATCATAATGGCAGTACTTTTATCTCGGATTGAAAAACTGGCCCATACATAATTCATTTCACTTTGAATATTTAAAAATTTTTACTGAAAATGAAATACTGATACATACCGGATCTGAATGCCAACGATTCGGTAAAGGCGGTCTACGCTGATCATAAGAAACTAATTTACGCATTTCTTCAATTGATGGTTCTTGTGTGTTACTTGAAAGCCACTCCGAGTATGGAGCAGCATAGTCAAGAGCAACACCATTACTAATACATCGCCTACAAACTTCCCACATTATCAGACCAAGACTGTATATATCAGCACGTCTAAAACTCTCTAAACATTCAACGTTCAACCTTGATAAACAAAAATAAAAAAAATTTAGTATTGAAATTTATTAAAAATCTAGGGAAGAATATATTTATATTAATATACACTCACGTTTGCGATAATATTTCAGGGCTCATATAGCGCTTAGTCCCTTGTCGTAAATCAATTCTATCGGTACTAAGCCGCTCTTGTGTTGTTGTAAGAGCGAAATCAGCAATTACACAACTGCCATTCGTTTTAACAAGAATATTTTTTGATTTAAGATTACGATGCGCAATTGAAGGCTTGCCTTTTGTACCATGTATTTCTGTGTGAAGGTATAATAGGCCATTTACCATTCCCAGGCAAATATTAAGTGTTTGATGGTGTGTCAATGGATGAGGTGAACGATTTAAATAATCATAAAGTGACCCAAGAGGATGATAATGAGTTACGAGCCATAATTGTGTGCAGCTAGCTCTACTTGTCATATCACTTCCTACATAGCCAAGAATATTGTCATGGCGTGATGGCAAAAGGTGTGAATACACTTCAGTTTCACGTGCCCAAGCTGCTTCATCGCGCGAAAAATAAATTTTTACCGCAACGCTTTCACCATGCCAAACTCCTCTCCAAACTTCTCCACCGAATCCACTTGATCCTCCATTACCGAGACATTCAACCAATGCCACTTGTTTTGCTAGAGTACGTTGCACAAGCAATGGTAATCCCGAACCTGAGCCACTCGTTAAGCTCCTACCATCTAGGTATTCCTGGGGAAAAAAAAAAAAAAAAATAAATAAATAAATATCATTAAATATTAATTAAGTGCTCATGTGTACAAAAATACATACTTTTAATGTACTGTCTCCCGCTGCAGTAGCTCGTAATTCATGTGGATGATAATTGGTTGAAGATGTTAATGATGAAGAAGGAAAATGTAACATCGAAGGTTCTAATTCAGGATCAACTAATAATTTATTTCGTTTTAGAACTAAAGATCGTTTTCTTCGCGTTTTACTCAATAATGTAAAGAATATAATTCCACCAATAATTATAGAAACTACTATTATTGAACCCATAATTGAAAGAGCTAGTTTAATTGCATACTTTTCTCCATTGTCTAAAAAATTATTATTATCATTAATCAGTTTCAAGTTATAAAATGACTAAAGTAGAAAATAATAAGTTTGACTTACCGTTTAAAGGTTCTAAAACTGGAAACGGTCCTTTATTGCACAAATCTGAAAAGCAGCATTCTACGTTGTATACAGCTTCTGATTTACTATTGGGAGGCTTTTTATTACATGTCAATAATACTTGATCAGACATTGAAGTACATGCTCTTTTTACCCTCTCTGTACCGTCAACTTCCCTGACCGTAGACTTCCAACACTGTTTTAATTAAATAAATAAAATTTGCATTATTAATTTCATACGAGATATTCCTAATATTTCAAAGATAATAATTAATCATAAAAAAACAAGTTAGGAATACTTATACAATTATAAAAATTTATTCTGTAAAAATTTAGAAAACATTTCTTGTTGCAGTAGTTAATTTCTTTAAAGTGTAATCAAAATATTTACAGTAATAATTTTAAAGTTAAGATAATTATGATTAAATTAGCCATTATAAATGAAATTTTTCAACAAGTTTATCACAGTTAATTTTTATGTAAGACCGACTTAAAAATTTTGATAAATATTAGAATAGAAAAAGAAATTAACTTATACAAATGTTATGTACTTTATAATACATACTTTAAAAATAAGTAATAAAACTTACTACAGCTGCATCATAACATAATTCGGGTTTTATACATTCATCTGCTTCACACGAATAGCATGTCAATTTTCTTTGTACTCCATGGACGTATTTTTCTTGATTTGGAAATTCTGTTGGTTCTTCACTGTCTAAACCGTTTTGTTTATCATCTAATAATGGTGCATGTTGTATGTCACCTATTGACATATATTAATATCTTTAGAGAAATTTTAATTATATATACATATAAATATAAAATATATTAAGTAATTAAATAAAATTAATTATTCTGCTGTACCCTGAGAAGATTTCACTCCTAAAAATATCATAAATATTATGATACATAGAATATTCGCCATTTCTGATTTATAGGCGCGTCGAAACAATGGGTTGTTGAAGTACTATACATTTAAATTGAGTATAACAGTATTAATAATTATATCTCATTGACTTTGTTATGCCAAAATAAAAAGTTTTTGTCCACATGATGCTTTTATTATCACTTGCACTGTATAATTATTTTTATGAAGCACAGTTAAATAAACACTTCACACCTTCTAATTGAGGGAGTAGGAAAAAATATGCAATTCGGTTATGTTTGTGGTTTTAATCCTCAATCCTCTAATACATAACACCCTCTTCGGTGTTTTTTAGCTACGGCGTAAGAGCGTAAGAGTGCATCAAGAGTCCGAGAAAGATGACAGTGATGTCATCTGCTGAAAAAATTTTGAACATTCTGTCAACTTGCAGCATCGAAAATCAAGATAGAGACACCTATTGATTTTACCTTGAATTTGATGAAATTTTATGGCTGAGATTAGACATCTGGTAATTTTAGCCTTTTGTTTTTTTGTTTTAACAAATTTCAACAAAAAAAAAATATTTAAAAAAAATTATAATAATACTTTTTTTTATTTTTGAAAATGAAAAATTTTTTTTTCTTCATAATTTAAGTATATACGAGAAAAGAAAACTCTTTCCAAAATTCTTAGATGTCTGCTCATTTCAGTTCCATGGTAATTTTCTTAGCAATTTACCTTCAAGTAGCTGAAATTTACGCTCTTTCTGTGAATATCTTGAATCAGCAGATTAATAATTGTCATTCTTTGAAATTAAATTTATTTAGAAATTAACTGTGTCCTATATTTTAATCAATAACTATTTGTTTTTTGTTTTTTAGTAATCAATTCTTACTTTGGATCTCGATGACAGTATAAATCTCTGAAGTAACTGACGAATGCAGATGTCAGTATTTGTTGTAACCCATCAATGTTTTATTTTTGAAAACATTCTCAGTCGATAATAATTCGTCATAAAAGTGTAAGTATATATATATATATATATCGTATACATGAGTGCAGGCTAATATGTTTTTTTATTAATACGGCTATCAGAGTATATGTTTATATTTCGAGTATATAGTGTAGCAACATTTGTGGTTTGTGGTAATAAATTTCTCGAAATAATAAAACGGAACAATAAAAATTAAAAATCAAATATAAATAAAAGTTAAAATAATTAATACGAATTAATCTGTGTAAATAAAGTGAAAAAGCATAACATGTGCATAATATATATATATTGTGAAAAATAAAAATAATAAAATTTCTGAAGTCGCCGGACTGTTAGAAAAGGTTAACGTTCTTAACGTATTTTACGCCGTTGCAACGCCAAATATAATGGAATTCGTTGTTTTTTTCTCATTATAAATATCACTCTTAATTATTATTAATCACTAAATTAACATAATACGTAAAATGTAATTAAATAAAACAGAAAGTAATATAAAAAGTAAACATATATTTCTATATATATATATATATATATATCAGCTAAATTTTATTGATAGAATGAATGATAATGAAGACCTAACTGACAAGCAAAAAAATGATGAATTATTAAATAGGCAAGAAATTATAAATGATAAGGCAAAGTTAGCAGAAACAAAGACAAGTCGTAATTTATATTCGACAAAACAAGAATCCAACTTGATTGATAATCAATTAAGTAACTGTCGAGTTCAACCATATCCATTTACATTTATCTCAGCTGTAAAACAAAAATTAGCATTTGCCGTTCAAAGTGAAAATGATAATATAAATAATAAATTACAAAAGTACTTGATGGTAAATGAAGTTGGAAAAATGGATTTTACAAAGCCATTAAAAATTGTAAAATCACTTCCTAAAACTTCTGATTATTCAAATCCGTCTCGTGAAAGTACAGTACAACGAAAAAATCTATCTCCAATTCAATCAATACAGCAAGAAGAAATTATTTTAAACAAAGAGAGTAATAAAATTTCTAAAAGTTCGGATCGTGTGAGTAAAAAGTTGGATTTTTTATTGTCACAAGAATTATTAAATGAGGATATTAATTTAAAAACGCCTGATGTTCCATTTCAGTTATTTTCACGAAAAAAATTAGAACACATACGAGATAATTCTCGTGAAAAAGAAAATCGCACTAAAAGAATAAAAAAGGACGATTTAAATTTATCAAGAGAAAGTGATTCACTTGTTGAAGAAACGAAACGTGTAAAACATTCAAAACATGTTTCACGTCGAGATGTCAAAGATTTAATATTTAATTCGTCAGTGAAAAATGACCGACACTCAACGAACTTAATGAAAAATAGTGACCCTGTAAAAAAATCCAAAACAACAAATTTTGGATTATCTAACAAAAAAGATGAAAAGAAAGCAAGATCATCAAGTTTACAATCCGCAAAATTATCAAGAGATAAATCCCTCGAAGCAAGAGGTAAAACTACACGCAGTGAATCAACATCCGATCGTAACTATAAGCTACATGACTATATTACAATTAGAGAAGGTTCAAGATTATCTAATACTGATTTTCAAAATCAAAATTCAAATGGATTATTGCAAAATGATGATCAACAAAAATACCGTAATTTATTAGATAGTAAACAATTCAAACATCAATTAACTTCTAAAGAATTGTACAAAAAAAATTTAGAAAAGAAAAAATTATCAACAAATAAACTTCATCATCGACCAAGTGGAATATCTGTTCACGAATCCCGCTCGGATGACAATGAATTAATTACTAAATCAGATAGTATTTATACAGAATTATCATCTCAACAAATAGAAAATAAAGATGAAAAAATAACTTCAACTAGTAATCAAAATTTAACATCAATTGATGAATTTAATAGTATTAATGGTTTCAAAAAAGTTGATACGACTCAATCATCAGATGAAATATTTTTAGATCCACGTAAAATATCATTTAGAGAACATGGAGAACATGGTAATTCTCCACAAGATGATTTTTGTAATTTAGTGACACCTGATTTGAATTTAGTTTATCGGCCTAAGCGAAAAAAAGATTTACGCTGTAAATCTTTTTCAAATGATGATTCAATACAAGGAACTATTAAACAAAAACCTCATTCATCGAATGAAAAACAAGATAATGTGCCTTTATTACACCCAACTGCATTGCACATGCAGTTTCAAGCAGAGTTACATTTGTTTGACTCTTACAATGAATCTATTAGACAAGTTATGGATGTTGAAAATTCGTTATATAATGTTAAACAAAATCAAGAAAGAAAAAAATTACAAATGCAACGATTAATGCATGACACTAATGATAGTAGTCCGATTACAGAAAAAGCTAATGAAATTAATAATGATCATTTGATGTTAAAAGATGATATTACTCCAGAAGAAAATAAAACTAGTGTTCAAGTAGCAGAAGTCCAAACTCAAACAGCAAATGATATTGCTACTCAAACAGAAACTTTATTTACTCGTGATAATAATCAACCGCAGCTGCTACATCATGAAATAATTCATGCACCTGAATATTCATCAAATCCGCCTAAAATATCATTGAAAACAATTGAATTTGATGATTTTAATCAGTTTGAAGATATTTCACAGCCGAGTAAAATTAGAACAATGTCTGAGATAAGTTTACATGAAACAACATCATCAATAAAAACTGAAACTGGTACTGAAATAAATATATCAACTCGTGATGTCACTTGTTCATTCAACAAAGATATTGATTTAGAAATGGAACAATTAATAAAAGATGAAAAACAAATGTATGATAAAATTGAAATGTTATTCAAATCACGTGAAAAAACTCTACATGATCGTACAAGAAAATTAGTTAAATTAGAAGAGCAAAAACGTGCGCTAAGAGATACCGGACAAGATAGTAGGATCAGTTCTGTAAAGAAGAAACAAAGAGCTTTATTATTGAAATTGCAGCAAGAAAAAGATGAAATGAATCGATTGAAAGAATTGCATAAACTAGCCAGTCAAGAACGTAAATTAATGTTACAAAAACAAAGAAATATGTTCAATCCTCAAATGTCAACTAAAAATTTTTTGACTAAATTAAAACGTAGCGCTGATTGTCAATCACCTAGAAGATTATCAGGCCCAATGAAAGGATATAATATACGAAGTAATAGTTCTATTAGCTCATTAATAGATTCAGATAAATCGCAAATAGATCGATCACAATTGGATGAAAAACTTAATATTTCTGATGTAAGTGTAAATGATAAAATAAATGAAAAATCATTTCCTGATTTAGAAACTCTAACGTCTTCCAAAATAGTTGATTCGAAGAATAATAAATATCAAAAATATTTTGAAGAATCTAGTAATTCATCGCATTTAGAAATATCATCTTCTCAAAAATGTCATCAAATGAGAACACGTAAGTTTGAAGAAAAAATGCCTAAAAGTGATCTATTGTGTTTAAAATCATATCAATTAGATCTCGGATCAAAATTACGAATGTGTCAAAATAGTAATAATAATGTGGCTGTCAATAAACCTGTGGATAACTCACCGGCTATTAAATCTGAGTCTAATACACTCGGAGATTCATCAAAAAAATCTAAACTGAGAGATAAAGGTGATATTATTATGGATGATGATAATCATGAAGTAGTTAAAGGCTTGAAGAAAATGGATAAACCGATGATTTTGGAAAGAGATTCATTAAAAAAATCTCTTTATAATCAGGACTCTAAAGCTAACAGTAAACGCAAGAATACTAAAACTTTGAAAAGTAAGTCATCCACAAATATACTAGCGGAAAATATTTCGAAATCAATGTTGAATCTCCACAGTTCTAATGATATTGTTAAGCACAAACGGTCAAAGTTTGAAAAAGAACTGATACCGTTGGAAGACAAATATCCACAACCTATACTTGAAGAAATAAGTTTAAATGACAGTCAAAATTCATTTCAAGCTCTTGTTAAACATTCTCGGGTGGTTAAAGAAAAAAATAATAAGCTTTTACGTGATATTGCCAGTGAACGTAAAGCTGCAGAAAACATATCAGCACAACAAATGAT